TTATAGTTTGAATGTATTATACTAATTTTAGAGTTTTTTTATTTTTTAAAAATAAGTGTCCAAAAAAAACAAAATTATGTATTGTGGTTAAATTAAAAAAAAATATGATAAAAATTTTTAAATTTATTTTATCTAATATATATATATATATATATATATATATATATATATATATATATAATTTATAAAATATAACTGCGCAAGATCCAACGAAAAATACTATATTTTAGAAGAAGTCTTTTACTATTTTTGTTTGTTACAAAACTTAAAAATTATTTTGGTTAATTGATATATATTATATTATATAAGTAAATATTTGTGTAATTGAAAAGTTGTTGAATATTTTTTTTAGAAAGTAAATAGAAAAAATCTATTACTAAATTTTTTAAATAAAAAAATTAAGTTATCTAATTAGTATTTTTAATTAATAATAATTATAAAATAGTTTATTATAAATAAGATTATAGTAGTATTAATAATTTTGTTTTCTTTTAATTATCTTTTGACCGTATGAAACAAAATTTTAACTTTCTCTTAAAGTAATAAAATAATTATATTAAATAAATTAAAATTCAATAACATTTTGTTATTTTTTTAGCTGAAATTTAAAATCTAATAAATAATTAATAATTGAATATTATTTTTAAACTTTAATTTAAACATTATATATAAAATATATTTTTTACACGGTTATACATAAAATATAATATTTCTATAATATTAGAATACAAATAAATAAATAAAATCTACATGATTATATATATTTTTTAATTTTTTACTAACGGAATACTTTTTCTTATTAATAAAATCAATAAAATGAGTATCTAAAATCAATTAAATATATATGTATATGGCTGAATAATTTTTTTTTATGAAAACAAATAGTTTATTTTGAAATAAATATTTTTTTTAAATTATTTTTTATTTAATTAATATTTTTTAATTAAGCACCCTTATATCTATTCAACTAAAATTTTCCTCCTCTTCATATTAATATAATGTGTAATTTAAATATATTTTATATGTATCATTAAATATAACTTTAACATAATTTAAGACATGATTTTTAATCATCCATCTAACTATAACCACGATATAAGTCTAAAATAAAAAAATTATCTAAAATTACATTATTATTTTAAATATTGTGAACATGTTATATACTTAATAATAAATTTTATTTTAATATATTTTTAACAATTCTGTATTTCTTGATGTTAACAGTTATTAAAAATGTAATTTAATTTAATATAAAATATTGAAGAATATAATTAGTATTTTTAAATACATACAAAAATTAAATATTTTTCATTTATAATAAATGTTTTTTTAATAGGGTTGAATAATTTTGTTATATATTTAAAATAAGATAGTTTTAAATCACATTTTCCTATACTATTTTTTTTTCCAAAAGATATTGTTTACTAAAATTTTAGGTTTATTTTAATTATTTAATATATATTTAATTACATAAACAGTTATATAAACTGTATATCTAAAATAAGCAAAATATTGGTTCACGAGTTTATGAAAGAAAAAAGTCTTTTATTAATTTTTGTTTACTTTGATAAATATAAGACTATTTTTGGTATATATATATATATATATATATATATATATATATATTGAATTATATAAAAAATATATTTTAATAGTTTTTTTCTAAAATTAACAAAACATAATATGTTGAATAGTTTTTTTAATGTAAGTAAATTGTATTTTATTTTAAGTCTATGGGAGTAAAATTTTGACTATTTTTAATAAAAGAATAAGTATCCTTTATCTAATTAGTATTTTTCACTACATAATAAATATTAATTTTTTTTATGTAAAATTAATATCTACAATAATTTAATAAATATTTTTCTTAACAATTTTTTTATATACAATTAAGTAAATATATTATAAATATAATAAACATATATTATTTATATTAGTCAATACATATTAATAGTTACTATTTATTTAAATTTTATAATAAATTTAAATAAACCCAAAATCTTAAACCCTAAGTTAGTGATATATAAACTGAAAATTGAATGTACATGAAATTTTCGCTGTCAACAATATTAATTTTAAAACATAATTTAAGTTTTAATATATCATGTTTAAATAATGTGACTTATTAAGTTAGATAAATAAGTAAATAAATAAATAAAAATTAAATGGTAAATAATTTGAAGGGAACAATTCATAAATATGTGCAAGGTAACAATTTTAACGATATCTTTTTATAACACGACCCATATAAAAGAAAGAGTTGAAAAAGAGAAAATTGATCCAAAAAAACACAGACAATAATTTCATTACAAAGAAAAGTATATATATCTAATTATTAAATAACCTTTAAATTTGTCCATTTTATACACACATACTAGGATATAATGACTCACTCATAGTGCTAATAAATACCAAGATTTTCTTTATAAACCTTATGAATGATGCAATTTGTGTGTGTGACCAATTTCATGCCCCATCAGAAAATTAAGCTACTGGAAGGGAATAATTGTTTGAATTGATTTGTGGGCCTCCATTACCATGATATGGATACTCTTCATTATATAACCCCCATCATACACATGTCTGCATGAAGGTAGACACTCAAGTGTACATCACCATGCCTCATTAGAGTGAAGATGACAACAAGGTGAAGGATCAAAATCATTAGTGGGAAATCAGGTATCACATTTATTTTCATTTGATTACGTAATCTGTTGTCTAATCTATTCAGTAAAAATGAAGTTACATTTTTTTATGAATTCTATCAATCATTCATAATGAGATTGTTTAACACTATGTTTACCTTATTTGAAAATTTTCCACTCTATATTACATTTATTATTTATACTTATACCTTATTTGAAAATAATGAAACCACATTACATACATTTAACCAAAAGTTATTAGCTAGTGATTTTACATTTGCATTTTTTAATAAATATTTGGAGTTTAATCTCTAATTTAAGGATAATTAAATATATAACTTTTATCTTGAAAATGGTTTAATTAAATGCACCAACTCAAACCATATGAGAAATAAATAATATTAAACAAAAAAGATTTATCACATAAATTAAATTAATCTAAATTTAATCTAGTCCATTTAGGTACAGTTTAATTAGACTTAAACTAACCTATCTTCTAAACTTATGAGATTTTATAAAATAATAATAATATAAAGATTAATTCATATTTTAGATCATTAGATTATTAATAAATGATGGTAATAAAAGAATAAGTATTTAATTCTTATTTTTAGAGTAAATAAATATCTTTTATTGTAATTTACATAAAAAAAATATTTTAATTAATATAAATTAAATTTTAAAATTGGATATTTAATTTAAAAATAATTTTTACTGTTTTAAAATTATTTATTTTTATATAAAACCATCTTTAATTCTGTTTTTTAAATTAATTAGATTAAAATTAGTGTATAAATTCATTGACTTACTTAGAAAAAAATTATGATCCGATTAAAATAAAAATTAGGATAAAACTAAATTGGGTTGGCTTGTCTTACACGTAAAATATGATTGTTATAAGATTTTTGTTGTATTTAAAATTAGGATAATGTAATTCCAATTAGTATAAACTCCTAATTGCAAGTATGAGTTGGTCCAGTAAAATAAATTACTTTTTTTCTAAAAAGGAGAGGACAATAAGAAACAATCATTTTATGACGTTTAAATGATTGTTTATAAATTGTAATGAGATGCCACACTTCCTAATCATATTTGTTTCTTCTTTCTAAACATTTACTTCCAGGTCATAAAGTAAAGCTACTTTAATATTTTTCTTCAAGGGGAATTGCTTCAAGTGTTGTTACAATAACTTAATCAAATTTAAAAGAATATTATTTAACTAATTCTTACACTCCCATTTCACAGTGCACGATGGGTAACACTACTTTTAAGTTACATTATTTAGATGCACAATAATTCAAGTTCACTAAATTTTAATCATAATTGAATACCAATGATAGGAAACTTAGACATCATATAATGGTAATCGAACAAAATCATACAACTTGTATATATTATATACATATTATTAACATAAACATCTCATCAACCAAAGTGATTGTTATCTCCATGCAACTTGTGACATTATATAATCTTTTACTACTATTGAAGACATTTTCATAAATACACAAGATTTTTAAACAGTTTACCAGGAAAAAGAAAAAAAAAATGAAGTTTTTGTATGACAGGGAATATTTATAACACATTATTGGGTGACAGTAAATTATTGGCTTACTTTACACTTTACAGCTCCCAAAATTAATTTGTAGGTGCTTGACATAAATAAATCCATGATACAATGTATGTATCTATAGTTTTTCACTGATAATAAGGAGGTTCTGGTTTATTCTTTGAATGTTACCGCGCATGATTTGAAGGGCAAATATGATAGTTTGAAAAAGGATAGAAGACGAAATTAGAATTGTAGAAGGTGGAAAGAACAACAAAGTCAGACAAACGAACACAACATGACACAGACACAAACACAAATATCTGAACTTCTCAACCGCATCAACAAAAGTCCATCAAAGCGGCCAAAAACATCACCATAAAACAAGGACTAAGCCACTCAAACTCCGTTCCTTGACCCACTCTTGGCTCTGTTTCATCCCCTTAAACTTCCACTCTTACTCTTTCCCAACGTTTCAATTTTGACCCTTCATTCCCACTTTCTCTTCCTCTCCTCAACTTGTATTCAGTTCTTTTTTTATCTTCTTGCCTTATTTAGTTATGCATTTATGTTGCTAAAGATTTCAGTTTTTATAGGCATGTTGGTGTTAGCAGCTTGTTAGATCTGATTTATTGCAGTATCAGTGATGGCGGTGGAAAGTCTGAGAATCTCCACGCTGAATTCGTAACGGTTTTGTGCGAAATGAAGCAAATGGAGAAATGGGGTTCTCTTTGAGAGGGTTTAAGAGGCGAGGGCACGAGAAAGGTTGAATTTTTAAGGGTGGTGGGGTTGTTTTGCATGTGGGGATGGAAGCGAGGATGAAGAAGTACAACCGGCAAGTGAGTCCGGAGAGGGCCAAAGTGTGGACTGAGAAGTCCCCAAAATACCACCAGAGTCTGAAGGTTCCCGTGATTTACTATCTTTGTCGAAACAGGCAGCTAGAGCACCCTCATTTCATGGAGGTCCCACTTTCATCACCGGATGGACTATACTTGAGAGGTAGAATGACTAATGGGAAGAGAAAATTTTGTTTTTTCTTATTGGGGTGGGGTGTTGTCGTTGTTGTTTTCCTTTCTGGGTTGTGAATCTTGACGGCTGTTTTCTGTGCAGATGTGATTGATAGACTAAACGTGTTGAGAGGTAGAGGTATGGCTTCCTTGTACTCATGGTCTTGCAAGAGGTGAGCAAGTTGTTGCGTTTTCTATGTTCATATGTTCAATTTGTATGTTGGGGGAAAGAAAAAAACTAGAGAGAAGGGAAAATAAAAATAAAAATGGAGACTTTTATTGGTTTTGTGCCTCTATCATTTTAGAGAAGCCAAAGCTACATGGAATTTACAATTTAAGATAAATAACCGATATTTTGTTTAACTTGGGGTTATTTCAGACTAGGATCAAATTTTGTGCTCAGTTTTCTCCATTGGTATTTGTTCTTGTATTTCAGGAGCTACAAGCATGGATTTGTGTGGCATGATCTATGTGAAGATGATATAATTCTACCAGCTCATGGAAATGAATATGTTCTCAAAGGTTCTGAGTTCTTTGATGAATCAAATTCAGGTAAATATCTTGCACAGGTTAAAATTGTTAGGTCCTGCAACCTTAGTCTTAATGAATTTTACTTTGCAGATCGTTTCAGTCCCATCAACAATGTTAAAATACAAAGCATGAAGCTGTTGCAAGGGCCAGCTTCTTCTAGGAGCCATGATGAAGCCTCATCCTCTTCTAGCATGAACGGGAAAGAGACAAGAATCTCCCAAGATGATGAGCTTTCCCAAGAACCACACACTGGTTCTTCTGATGTTTCTCCAGAGTCTAGGGCTGAAAAGAGTGATGCTCTAAGCTTGGCATTGACAGAATACAAAATTTACAAAACTGATGGATTGGCTGATGCTTCAACTCAGACAGAAGAAAATGTGAGCAGATCCAGAGGTCAGAAAACTTGTACGAGGGGTGTATCAACAGAGGATGGATCTTTGGAATTTGAATGTCATGAAATATGTCAAGCTGAAGTTCCACAAGTGAAAGATACTCCGCAAATCTGTAGGGATACTGTTTCTCCTCCTCCCTCGACTTCAAGTTCCTCGTCTTTTGTGGGGAAGGCTGAAACTTTGGAATCTCTGATTAGAGCTGATGCTAGTAAAGTGAACAGCTTTAGGATTCTGGAGGAGGAGAGCATGCGGGAGCCAACCAACACGAGGCTGAAAGCTTCAAATTTGCTGATGCAGCTGATCTCGTGTGGCTCTATATCAGTGAAAAACCATAGTTTTGGCCTTATTCCTTCCTACAAGCCCAGGTTTTCCAGCTCAAAATTTCCTTCCCCACTGTTCTCAACTTCTTTTGTGTTAGGAGAATTTGATTGCTTAGCCGAGAATCCAAAGTTGATGAGCCTCAGATTGGAGGACAAAGAATATTTTAGTGGAAGCTTAGTTGAGACTAAACTGAAGGAAGGAAATGGATTTAATGTTCTGAAGCGCTCTTCTTCCTACAGTGATGAGAGGTAACTTTTGTTTTCAAAATTTCCAACTTTAAAATTAGCATGAGGAAGAGTTGCACTGGCCGGTGTTTTCTTAATTATGTGAGAAATATACTCTGAGGAAGAGTTGCAGTAATTCTTTAGATTATGGTCAGATTAGACTGAAAAGCCAGACAAGTTATGCAGTGGTCCAAACCTGATAATGCTTGAATCTGATCATATAAGGCTAATTCGGTTTTTCAAATCTGAAATTATTTTCCAGTTGAGTTAGATTCTCTCTTGCATTAAATGCATGATTTTATCTATGAAATTTTAAAATGTCTTGTATTTTTTATCGCATTTGATCATCTTATATTCTCATGAACACTTCGTTTGTTCAATAAAATGGTTACAAACCTATATTTTCATTTGTTTTTGTTTATTGGTGTTTAAAGCTAGTAAAATTTCATATAATACAAGTACTTTCACGTGCATGTTTGTATCTCTATTGTGATTGTGTGGACTGTCTCATGGAAATGAAGGATTCAAAGCTTCAAATAAAAAAGTCCTTCGTTTCTGCTTTGTGAAGCTAGTATGTAATATGAAATTTGGAATCATTATTGAAATATTAAACATCGACTCGAAAGAAGCTCAACTGAGAATCTGTGGAATGATGAAGAGAGACCCATTTTATTATCATATGTTAGAGGGAACTTAATCAGTGTTTGTTCTCTTTCGTAACAAGCCACTAAAAACGACTTGGCAGTTGGCGCATGCAAACATGGTTGGTTTCTTGGATTCATGTTTTTAGAGTTTTGATTGCAGGACATATAAAGAGCAGAAACCACAAGAAGACAAAGAGGAGTCATCATCCTCAGGACATTCAAAATGCATTCCACGATCAATTAAGGCTTCATTGTCCAAGCATCCCCGAAGTGAATCCATGAGATCTCCTGTATCTGATGGACCCCGCAACTCATCAGATAGAATTGATGGCTCGGGCATATCCCCAGTGACATCTAATGGTAGCAGCAAAAGAATCACTGAACCTTTGTCAGGGAAAAAGCAATCAAAGAGGATAGATTCGTTTAAAGAAGAGGAGGAAGTGATCAAAATTGAAGAAAGTTAAGTGTTGACTCTATCTTATTTCTTAAGGCTCTTAAAACTATCATTATATTCTTCCACCTTTCAGCAACATAGACTGAAACAATTGGTTTTTACTCGACAGGCTTGCTTCAGGAGCTCGGGTTATAATCCAATCCAAACCATTTTCAGACACAGCATCTAGCAGCTGTTGAAAAATTCAAGTTTCAGAAGTTAGACAACAGAAAAAAACTGCTAGTTTTCTTTTTTCAGCTTTAGTTTGAATTCAACGTGATTGTATATATCTTGGTAGGTCCACGTGACATTTTCCTGTGCTTACAAAGTAAAATTATTTTGACAATTGACACAATGCAAATGGAGCAGCTACTAGAGCAGATGTGGTCCCAGTGGTCCATTTCCTTGAATATATTGTGCTGGATAGAGAGGGACTGGCATTCTGAAATGAAGTGATTGCACATTCTGCTGTAACTCCTGAAACAATATCTTCCTTTTGCACCCTTCCTTTTCCTTGCTTCAATCAAATTAGTGGTTACTGCTTACTACCTAGCTTTCACCTTCGAGGGCAAAAGGTGCAGAAAAAAAAATAAATGCAGGTCGTTTTCAAACCCATCTCTTGGCATTGGAGCTGATGTCAATTGTCAAGAATGTGGCATTGATTTTGACATTGAATGCGTTCTGCTTAGCATCAAAATGTAACATATCTTATATGACCAGATTTGATTCTCAAAAGCTCGAAAAAGTTGGTGAAAAGCTAATTTTATGAACCCTTAAAAAGGGGGTGCTTCAAGTCAAGATTTTTAAAAAGCTGGGTTTTCTTTCTTGGAAACCAAAATGTCTACATAAACAAGTTGACATTTTAATGGTAATAGTCTAAAGGCCACATTAACTTACACGCAATGATGCAAAAGGGTACCTGATTGTAGGAGTTGGTCTGCAGAGTTATATGACGTCTGGAGTTCAGAACATGATTAATGGTACCATATTGACACACTACACGATTTATTGAACTTACAGAAAGCATCAATTGAGACGACAATAAGAATATTATGGTAAACCAATTTGTTCCAAAGTATGGGCTACTTGAAAAGATTCACGTGTAAGACTACTTTATTGTAAGGATTCAGAAGGTGAGTTTCCATATTCTGTTCCATGGGTCCCTATTTCTTGTGTCTTTAGCTTCAAACTTGAGGAAGAGAAGCATAAAGGTGATGTCTAAAAGCTTTTTGTCTGGAAAGGTAAATCAGGGTTAGTCCTTTCATGCTTTTGTCTGGCTATTGCCATCTTGACCCATAAAATCATTAGTTAAGCAATTCACATATCTTTGGTTTTACTCAAGCCAAAAGACAAGTAGGCCACTATGCCTATTAGTAATGTTTGTTTTCCAATCTTACCTCTTTTTCTCTTTCCCTCGCCATCATATTCTCTGGGTGTTTTTGGATCTTTCCTTCTACAGGTTTTTGGTATATAACAAGCAGTGAATCTATAAGGGAAACTATGATATTGATCAACCTTTCAGTATTTAGTTTTATAGTTCATAGAATGATAGCAATGATTTACTGTATTCTTATTTGGTTCAAGTATATTCTTTTACTATTTAAATCAACCACCCCTTGTATAATGATTAAAATAATTTCACTTTCTTTGAAAGACTCCCATTTCTTCACAAGATAGTCAATGTGGGTGTGGACCAATAGTATATTTTCATTACTCTCCCTCTTTGGTTGCTATTTTTTGTGCTTTTTAAAATTTGAACATGGAAGATTTTTTCTTTTTATAATGGATTATCTTTAAATATTTTTACAATGACATTCCAGATTCATTCTGGAAATATTATATTTCAAAATGAAAATTCTGAAATTTTTATTCTAGAACATATATATCTGAATATTTTGCCTGGAATCAATATATCTGAATTGTTGGAAATAGTTTAAAATCCATTCCAGAGTTTATTGTCCGAAACAATCATTGAGAAGCTTTCTTGACTCGCTTTAACACTTTCTTAAACATGTTCTGCAAGAATCTTACAACAAATCCACTCTACTCTCTGCATCCTCGTCACTCTGGTCTTCAACTCCATCATACTCATTTGGTTAAGAAAGGAAACATTGTTTGCAGAGAAATGACGAAGTTGGAGGAGTGTGCGAACATGGAGATTATATTTTTTTATAATATTAGATTATTATTGTCGTTTTGGAGGAAGAAGGGGAGACACAACCTTAAGCGCAGGTAATATTTTATACTTTCGCAAAGATCATTCTAGGTTTAAAATTATTCTGAAAAGTTTATCCCCAAGTGATAATTTTTATCATGGGATATCCTAGAATTTTGAAATAGTTAAAAATTAATTTTGCTTTATACATGTTATGATCCAGTTTCTGTTAAAAAAACAACTTTGAATTACACATGTTATGATCCATTTCCAAAAGGAGCTCGGAGTTTTGGAAAAGAAGAAATTTGCATTTATGAAAATACTCAATTCCATTCATGCACTTTTCTTACACAATGTTGTTGTTTTCCTAACTATGCCTATCCTAAAAGTTCGTTGTTATTGGAAAAACAAAAGAGGAAGGAAGGCTTTTAAAATAGAAAATGGAATCTAAAAATTGAAAGAAAACATGAGTTGGTGACTAAAGAAAGTCACAGCTTGACTTCTTCTGTATTGAGGGTTCAGGTTGCAAACATGTTGCTAGTAATAATAACAACACATCTTGAAATCGTCATTCCAGAACAAATTTTTATTTTAGAATGATTTCAAAACGTGTAATCTAGAAACGTGAGAATTTTAGTAAGTCATTTTCATTAAAGGTGCAGGAAACAATTATGGATGAGCCAAAATCATTTGTCTGAAGGAAGAACACCATCTTTTTTTTTTTTTGTCAATACAACATACAACCCAAAAAGCAGAAGAAGAGCAATACGCAAAGCCAACTAAAGAGAAAGCAAGCTAACATTGGACACTCTGCTCAGATCTAAGCAAGATAAGGAGATTTGTCAACAATCCAGAAGTCCATTACAAGGAACCTTTAATGTTCATCTCACCGTTTCAGTCACCCCAGATGAGGTTGATGTAGCAGGTACTCCCTGTATCTGTCTTGTGTTGTATGAGTTGCAACTTAAGCACTTATGGGCCACAACGTGGAATTGTACATGAGAGTTCGTTCCACAATCATTGCAAAGAATCCACACCTGGTTGCATACAAATATTAGGTTAGATATGTCTCACAAGCTAAGCTACCCTTAATTCAGACTTTTTACTTACCATCTTGTCTTTTAAGGTTTCAAGCATTGGAGTTAAGGCAACCTGACCAAAAGTTAATTCAAGAATGTTATAAAACTTAATATATTGATGCAATCATATGCTGCTTAAAAACATATATTAAGAGAAAGAAAATGACATCTACATACCACTTTGTCAAACTTTGTCCACAAACTTGACATATCACGGATGGATTTTGAGCATACAGGACATGTGTACCTGAATCCATTTTCAAAAAGAATTCATAACATTGGTTGAATGCTTAAGACTATCAAGGCATATCAACACAGGCTCATGGCAGAATATTGCTTGATGAAATTCAAAGAAGTAACAGAACAACACCATTTTCGTCTTTAATTGGTGACATGTAGATAGATATAAATGTCTTACCTATGATGGTTTTCCATCTCTCTAACACACTCTAAATGTATAGTATGCGCACAAGGCAAGACACTGATTTCTCTTACTGTATCAAATAGATACTGCAAGGGGGAAAATGAAATCATCTAAATGAAAACCTGACATTTTTTCTAAATATTTCAGCCAATTATAGTGCTAGTGGTTTGTTTTACCTCAAAGCAGACAGGGCAATTGTGATGCATTGCTCCTTCTACACAGCGGTGCCCCTTTTCCATTATCTTGGAGTAGCAACATCCTAAAACGTAGTTTGGTAGCTTTTTAGTCATCAACTAACGGAGGAAAGGCATGAGAAAAACTAAACAATTGCATTCGGGGCAAGGTACTCACCACATCTTTTGCAGTGGAAAAAGTTATCCCTGCCTCCTGTTCTGTAAAAGCAATTACATAGAGCAGATGATTAATCAAATTCTGTTAAGCAATGGTGGATTAGCAGTTAGAAAACTAATTCAAGAACTTTTAACAAACTGATTCAAGAACTTTACCTGCAAATGCCGCATTCATCACAGTGGTATTGGTTCTTTGAAGTCTGCAAGATTGAAGAAATTTTTAACTCTATGCACAACTAAGAATAGAACTAAATAAAAGAAACGATCATAACACAAATTTTATTACACTGAAGAACTTACATCATCATCGAAGAACCTACATATATCACAAAAATACTTGCCCATGCATACTCCACAGTTTATGCAGTACTGTTGAACCTGAGAGCACACGGAACAATTAACAGATCAGTAACTGCAAGCATATTTTATAGTATACATGTCTTTCTATCTATTACAATAATTCAGATTTTTAGAACTCACATCTTGCTCTATGTCACATAAGGAACAGATAACCTAAAAATCACCAAATAGAATGGAGTAAGGGAGTGAACAGCATCAAATATAGATTAACATTGGGAGTAAAATATGATAAGGATCAACCATATAAATATTAGAATTTTATTTTGCTCAATGATCCAAAAGTATAAGACAGCTTTGATGCAATTGCAGTTTTACTAAATATGAAAATGAGAATTCTGGGACAACAAACATATAGAAGTTTCACTGTAAGTATTGAGGCAAAATGTGGTACTTCAACAAACATAAGTAAAGTAGAACTACCAAGAGGAATCATACAAAATAACAACTAACTCAAAATTAAGAAGTGGGTAGTAGTAATAGGGAGAAATCAAATACAGACCTTCTTAATTTCATGGCGTGGAACATCATGACGATCCACAGCATCAACTTCACCAGAGTTCTATTTAAATCAAACAAAATTCATAAGAACCATGCATGTATAACACTAACACAACTCTAAATCGATGAAAAACTTGTTAGAACATAAATTTATACCTTAGCTTCATTATGGCAATGGCTACAGTAAAAAACCTCGTCACAACAAGGCGCTCTGATCTTACATCTCCTTCTGTAGTGCGCGCACCTGTCTCGAATAGTAGCACAAACAAGATAACATTTTTTTCTCTCCTTTCTCAATCAAAAGATAAATAAAATTCCATCCGAACAAAATTCTCAAATTCACTAGTAGATGAAATATATATCAGTAAGAAGTACCCAAGATTCTGAATCCCAAATTCCATAGCAGAAAATTGTGGGGCACAATGGGATGAAACAACATGGACAGTGGTTTCCATTGTTTTGTGTGCCAGTATAAGAAAACCCCACTTATCCAACTTGTTATTATAGTAGTTGTTTGGAGTAAGAACTATTGAGGTTGCATTAAAAACATTATTAATTAATCATTATTATTAATTCATTATTAATTGAATTTCACAAAAGTTCATTCCACACCGAATTTTCTTATGACCTTATCCACACAAAATGCTAGCTTGGCTACACGCAAGGACTCGAAATAGTTACACTAATCAAGAAAATCAAACATGTAAAAAAATAAAAAATAAAATAAAAATTATAATATAGTCCAAGATTATTTAAAAAAAAATTGTACATGTAAGTGTCATAATTATTAAATATACAAAATATCTATGCTTCGGAAATAAAAATTTGAAAGTTTAGACAATAACGAAATTTGAGTCTATTCTAAATAATATTTATATAATCTTTTATCAGATTATATTTAATTAGAAATAAATGTCCTTTTATAATTAATTAATTAATTAATAATTAATAAGATGAAAAATTAGAAATTAAAGCTTTCTTCCATGTTTATTACAAAATTTAAAATATATCAGAGGTGTGAAGTTCTATTATAATTTATAACTTGAAATAGATAAATTAATATAATGTATTTTATCTATAATAATATTTTTAAATTACAGTATTAATTTTAATGTAATTATCATTGTAAACAAATAAAAAATAATAATAAATTATACTTAATGAAGAGTTAACCTAACAGCACATGATATGATTGAGATTTTTGCGTGGTGAACTCAAATACATCTATTATGCACAGATAATAATTTCCTTTTTAACTCATTATGAATAAGATATTATAATAAAAAAAATTGTGAACACATTTAATAACTTGTGTTTCAAATAATTATTTTAACTTATTTTTAAGATTATGTATTCTTAGTTTTATAATATTTTAACTTACTAAGTGCATCTCTCTAGTCTCATCTTTCTCTAATCTTAGGTGTGTTACTTTATATATAATTTTCTCTTAGGTGAAGAGCAATGCTTATCATGATTAACTTGTAAGAAGATTTACAACATGTGTGATCATGTTCATAAATTATTGTGGTTGAACATGTATATATTGTAACTCTTCACCAAGCTACAACATTAAAATTCAGAGTTTTAGAGTTTAATGTGCTATGACGAAGACTTGTGATAATGACCAAGATCACCCCATTAAATTAGTAAGATCACTTGGTGTTAAGGTAATCCTACTTTCTTATTCTCTAGGATTTCATCTCGAAAGGTAATGCTAGGACCTCATTCATTACTAGTTAAAAGTTATCATTTATTTTAAGAACCTATTGATTGATAAAATACTATTGCTAGACTTGTAATCTAAAAGAAACTATACAGTAGATTGCAGAATTTTTAGGCTTAAGCTCATGTATCAAATCATATTTGGAGGACTTGGTAGCAGTCTCTTGGAATGGGGTGGAGAGGAAGAAAAAGATACGAGTGATCTCTACAACTCCAAGAAGAAGGAATTGGGTTGATCCTGTGCTAATGAGTTTCTACTGATATTTTCAATGCCCCAAAAGATACCATCTCCCACGTCCAATCCATAGTTCTGAAGTTCCTATGGGAGAACATGTCTTCCAAGTTCTGTAGGTTCAGCAGATACCTGTATTGACACGATTTATAGATTATGCAAAAGCAGATTATTGTGTCTGTTCAACAAAGCTGCAGGCTGACCATTTTGTAGTGATGTGGGCAAACCAGCAGGAATTGACAGCCTTACATGAAAAGCTTCTAATTGCGCTATCATGTCAGCTGCATCTCTGGAAGACTATATATCAGCATAGGAAAAGGGAAGGTTTTGCCATGGATGAACACAAGTCAGTTGGAGCAGCATGTATGGCCGAAGCCTCTAATCAATGACTTCAAGTGGTTGCAGCTCAGGCTCAGAACAATCTACAGGAAACTTGTCGAGGAAGGAATTAAAAGGACAATTCTTACCTTGTCTTTGGAGGATCAAAAGAGTACATAGCTTTTTCGTTTGAAAGCTTCTTGAAAACTACATAACAATTATCAGTTTTTAAGACAACTTCAGGAGAACTTTAGATATCCAAATGCGGTTTTGGATAATCATACTTCAACAATTCCAAATATGTACACAACAAATATATGTATAGTTTCATTTTAATTACATTTCATTACAATTTAGCTATAATTCAACAAACATCCACTTTGATGAATTCAAAACAAGGGTATTTTCATGAAGCTGCCCCTAGTTGGAATTGTTAGAATAATTTTTAGAAAGGTACCTGACTATAAATTTAATGCTCTCAGTGTTTTATCAGTTCAGAAAAATATGACATTAACAATTGGTGAAGAGAAATTACATTTTATGTAGAATAGTTGGGCTTACATTATTGTTGTGAGAAGCACAACAATTAACTTTGTCCAAAAGTAAAACTATAACCATGTAATTCATGGGCAAAAAATTCAAATATTCATTAGTTAAATGCATTCCAAAGTCTATTTTAATGGATTCATCTCAAATCCTAATCCATATTTTTGAATTTTAAATCCAATCCAATTAATTAGATTTGGATTGGATTATTTTTTGGATTTTAAAACTCCAAAATCACAGTTAGATGAGATATGTTTGACACAACTTGATTATGTCAAGTTGAATCAAGTTAAGTTAAATCGGGTCGATCAAGTCAATATTAGGTTAGGTCAGGTTAGACCAAGTCCAGTCAAGCAAGGTTGGTCGATAAAGATCGGACTTGACCGTCGGACCAACATAAGTTAAATTAGGTTGAGAGATTAGGTTAGGTTTAATTAGGACAAGATGAATCATATTAATGCCAAATAAGATTGAGTTGGGTCAAACAATGCTGAACTAAGTTGAATTATGTTAAGTCTGAGCTAAGTTGAATTATGTTAAGTCTGGTCATTTTGAGTTAGATTAAATCATATTAGGTCAAACCTGATTAGGTCGGGTGAACCAGGTCAACTAGGCCTAGTTGGGTTAAGTCAAGTCAAATCAAGTAGTCCAAAACATGTTAGGTTGGTTTAGATCGAACATAAGTCAAGTTAAGCCCAATTAGGTTAGGATAAACCTAAGTTCTTATTAGATCAAGTTGGTTTGAGTCAAATCAAATTAAGCCCAATTAAGTTAGGTTAAGCCTAAGTCAAGTTAAACCTGATTAGATCAAGTTGGATTGAGTCAAATCAGGTCAAATCTAATTAGGTTAAATCGAATTAGTCTAAGTATAATTAGGATAAGTCAAATAGTTAAACTAGACCAAATTAAGTACCGGACAACTAATTCAAATTAGGTTAAGCTGTGTAAGTTCTATATAAAGTAAATTATTAAATAAATATAAATTTAAACTAAATTGAAAAAAAATCAAATTTAGTTAAATAGATATGAATTTTAAATCAATATTGGATTTTTAAAAATCCAATCCATGCTCACTCCTAATTCATATGAACGACCTCACTTAGTGAAATTAAAGTATATTGTAGTTGTAATCACCAAATGATACTAAATTATCACAATTTAAAATGTAATCTATCATTTTAAAAATTTAATCACCAAACAATCCCGTGCTTCGCATAGGTCACCAACTAGTTTATTGTGATGGTTACATACCTTCTTCTCTATATTAAAAATAATTACTTTAATACATGCATCAAGTGCTATAAAAAAAAAGTCAGCAACATTTAAGATTTGGCATAGATATTTAGAAAGAAATAATGGGTAATATATTTGAAATTTTGGAGAAAAAAATATACAAAAAAAATAAAAAGTCAAAGATAAAATTTACAAGAAAAATGATAAGAAAAAAAAAATCTTAGTCAAGACTAAATCTATTATGAATCTTTGAGGGAAATGAAATTATCACAAATACCTTAACATCAAGAACAAATACTTCTTATTTCAAGCATGATACAGCAAACTATGTAGCCTGGGATGTCCCCTACTATGTATTGGAGCTTTCTCATGTTTTTTTGGCATTGTGCAACATTTTTTTGGAAATGCTTCTCGTAACCATCCTACTAAATGAATTGCTGGCATCCAAAACTATCTTTTGTCTGATAGGTTTCACTTTCTTGGTGGATGATGGAGGTTTCACCGTGTCTTTTTCAGAAGGGTCTGTACCAATCAAGTATCCACCATTTCCTTCTCTTTGAACTGAGATTCCTTTTTCACTATTGCACATGTTAAGACCTGCTGTATTGCTATTTTCACATTCCATGTTATCAACTGAAGAAGCACTTGAGTCACCATAACTATGAGGTGCATACTTGTTCCAATCATGCGGAAATCCAACCAGGAAGTGTTGACAAACCTGGTAACAAAGATATTGAATTCAAATAACATAACCATGAACAGGATTAGGATAATATAGTTAATTAAGATAAATTGAATTTCATTTTGATGAATGGAGAATGGTAATATAAAAGAAAAAGAATGAAAGCATTATTAGGTTAGGTTGTTGAATACCTCTAAAGGGACGCCATTTTGAGATGAACGAGAGGTGTTCATGAAACCACGGAAAACAATAGTGATGCCATCTTGAGTGTGGAGGACATTTGCCTCTTCTCTCTTTGTAACGACGGTGGACAAAAACAAACTTTCTCTGTTTTTCCTGAGCGTCCAAATTGCAATTACTCCACATCCAGCAATGAAAAATCTGAATTGAAAAAATAACTTACTCGAGGGAAGCAACGCCACCAACGGCTAAACCCTTGCGTTGCTTAACAAGCCACCATTCGTGTAAGAAGACCTACAGAAAGAATAATGATTTGTTACTAGCATTGTAGACGAAGAAGGAAGACCGTGAAAGGCATTATTAGCATTAATTAATACGAGAGATTTAGGCGGCACAGGGTTGGTGCTTCCGCCACCGCGGCCATCGCCACCACCGCCGCCCGCCGTTTTCCCTCTCATCTCAGATCAACCAGCTCCACCCTTCACCTCACTCTAGTACCCACCCATTCATTCTTAAGGCTATCGAAGATAGTCCAGTCCGTTTAACCCACCCAATTTCATCTATCTTCTAAACGGGCTGGCCCAACCAAATGAAATAACTTTCATGCACTCTACTTTCATGTATTCTCAACTTATCTAAAATGATAATATTGTCTTTGATGTAAATCCAAAAGCTTTCCGGAATCAACCTTCTGGAAATATTCTGAAAAACTAATTCCATTAAATTTTCATAAAACTTTCCAACAAATTTCAAAAATTTCCAAAATATATTGATAGAAAACAATATGAAAATTAGTTTTAGATTATCTTTCCTAAAACCTATTCCTGAGCATATTTTTTTAAAATATATTTGGATTCCACAATCTGATATTTATTTTCAGATTATATTTTTTTAAACATTTCCAAAAAACACAATCCAAATGGGTTATGAATCATTAAATCCAAAATACAATTTTTTTGAAAAACATAATTTAGAAATAACTTTCGGATTAATTTATTCAAAACTCATTTTTGAATTTTGTTTTTCAGAAATATGTCTCGATTTCAACAATCCTACACCAAAAATGTAAATCAACATGTATGTACAATTAATATCTAAAATAACTAATAAATTTCAAACTTTAGAGTGAAAATGATACTTAAATGAAGGTGTATGAAGAAATTTTTGATAATTTATGAGAAATATGACGAATAAAAAAATTGGCCTCAAAAATATTTTTGATACTTTACATATATATTATAGAGTAAAGAAGAAATTATCAAGAATAATTAATGTGATCCAGTCATAACGAGTAGAGATTTAAAAAAAAATTTGTTTAGAAATAAAAATAAATATTTTATTATGGATTTTATATATGAATTGTTTAAAATTTGAGAAAATTACTTAAAATTGAAAAAAAAATTTATATAAACAATTATGCCTAAGTTTTAAGCAATTTATATATAAGATCTATAATAAAATATTTATATTTATTTTCAAACAATCCTTACTAAATACTCCACTTGGAGGGAAAAACCACTTAAATTAAAAAAAATCTATCAACCCCATTGAAAGAATGTGCCTTTAGGATTTTATACTTAGCGCGGGCTTAAACCTATATCTGACCTAAGTATAAGGATGATAAAACAGATTAGGTCCGATGGATCGACCTATCAGTCTACTTAAAAAATGACAGGATAGATTGATAGTTTAAGTTTGTCAATCTGTTTTAATCTACCCGCCTAGTTTATCAACTCGGATCAAGGTGGGACTGGACCATTTAAAAAAATATTTATATATTAAAATTAAAATAAAAAATTATAACTAAAAATATTATATCTTTTTTATTATTTTATTAAAATATATAAATATATTATAATATTATAATTTAAATTATAATAATTAATTAATTATATTTAAATTATTGATTATAATTAGTTATTTTAAATATAAATATAATATTTTTTAATTTATTTAATAAGAATTAATTAATAAATAAAAATTTAAAATTATTCATATAATTAAATATATATTTAAAAATAAATATATATAAAAGTTTTATTTATTTATTTATATTCACGTATTTCATATACAATATATATACTCTAGAATAAAGATAAGAACACTGATAAATATGTTGAAAAAAGTGACGGAATTTGTGATAAAGTGTATAAAAAGCCAACCTAAGTAATGGAATAAGGTTAAGAATAATAAATCACTTCAAAATTTGTAGTTTCATTACTTTCGTACTTACAAAGAACTATAGAACAATCTTTAAGATCACTGCAATGTGTTGTCTGCATAAATATTATCATAAAACATATTAAATCCACTGAAAACAGTGAAGTCGAAGAAAACAACATTTAGTTCAAAGACAGAGGACTTCTTTTCGTTCTTCTTTTGTTGTTGTGTGTGATATGATCATTTTTAATATCCATGTTATGGATGAAAGTATTTATTCACTTTCTTGATAACTAATCTATATAAAAAAAAAATCTTACTTACTACTCTTATTTGGATCTCTCTTTCAAAATTTTCATCCAAAAAAAAATTGAGATCATTATTTAGAAAATTTGAATTCAGTTATATTTAGACTAAGGACATGTAATCTCAGTATACCATGATGTTGATTGAATAAAAAAGAAAGACAACATTAAGAACAAAACCGTGCTTGCTTATATCAGTTTAGATTCTCTAAGAAAAGTCAAACATGGAGAATCTAAAGCTGGAACAATTTGATGAACTCACTGAGAGCGGAAGAAATAGAAGACAATGAGTAGATATAGTCAGTACTCACTATCTGCTGTAGTATTCAATTGTTCACTTTCATTCTTGGCATTTTAAAGTTAGAATACCACATCACATCTTTTGACTCACTGGTTTGATGAAAGAGTTTCTATAAACTAAGTTATAACCAAACTAATTTTGATACCTCCTTTCTAGAATTATCAATAAAAGAGTTAATCTGAACATCCCAGAAAATCATTTCTGATCACCAGCTAACAGTAACTCTCTTTTTCTGTAGTACTCTCTCTATAAAAGCTTAACAGTTGGGTTGGGACCAGCTTGCATGTAGGTCAGCAATTCAGTGTTCTATACTTGGTTTCTTGAATTATCATCTATTCCTTTTCTTCACATTTATTTTATCATAATTAATACAATCACAACAGGAGTATATATATCAATATTTGATTCTTGAACTAATCTTCTAAAGACACCTGCTAGCATTCTTCATTTAATTTTACACAATTCAATAAGGTGCGTGAGGAATAGCGTCATCATGGTCCCTTGGATTCTGTTCACACACATATATATTAAGCAGGAAAATAACTGTGCTCATGATCAGAAAGTGACCATTACACCAATGAAGAAGCCATAACACAATTTTAAGTATTTACACCACTCAGGACATGTGTTCATGCACGGCAACAACACTTAGCAAATTATCAATGCTGTACAAGCTAACCAGCGTGATATGAAAATGAAATCTGTAACTACGTACACAACTATGCCTTTTGTTGGGTACTTAACACACGCAGATTCACACAAAATAAATTCAATTATATAAAAGAATATCATGTTCCATCCAAATTCTTGATATAACAGATTATATTCTTTCTTATTTATAGCTTACTAAACTTTTTTATTTTTTATTCAACTTACTCTTCAATTTTCAACTAACTTAGTTTTATATCATACTAGCACAGTGCTCGCATTATCTCTCTATATATTAATGCTCATTGCATTAAATTATTACTGTCATTTACAACTAAAAGTAGAACACTGAAATCGACAGCATGCTGTTGCAACGTTAATTTGTTTATTTATTATACTAATGCTGTGCTTGATCTGATTTTATTTGTCATGGACATTCCACTCTTGTCAAGGATCAATCAGGAAAAATCACAGACGGCCGCAGTAAATTTATTCATCGAGAATTCAATATAATTTTCTATACAAATGGAACTCTGTATCAGAATTTTAAAGGGTACATAGGGAACTCGTTCTTATTTATTCACACCAAAATAATCATGATATTGATATTTAATTAGCCATGCCAAGTGTCAAATATCTATATAGTACAGTTTTATCTCTCACCAAGTGTCAACCATAGACACAATGGATCTTCATCAAGAGACTCTACTTCACGTTAATGGCTTTGAGCTGCACGACTTTGTTGAAGATCCCAACTTAGATCACTATATCAATTTTATTCGGTTAGAGAAGAAAGATGCTATTTGTGACTTCAATTCTGAGCTTATCAATGAAGCATTCATTGATAATTCTTTCTTGCCACACCCTGCAATCCCATCTGATCAGTGCAATAGTTGTGCAGCGAATGTCTATGATCCAAACTCAACAACTAGCCCCTTCTCTTATTTTGATTGGGCAGCCAAAGGAGGGGGAGAAGAAGAAGAAGATGACATGGAGGATTCATCTGCAACAACAATCACCACAACAACAATCACCACAACACCAACCAAGAGTCTTGTTGCTAAGTCAAGACCAAAAAATGATAGGTCCAAAACTTCGATTTCTGAGAGGAGGAGAAGATACAGAATGAAGGAAAATCTTTATGCATTGAGATCTTTGGTTCCCACCATAACTAAGGTAGGTGTCCCGACTACAAGATTAAAACATTACAGAAGGTTCTTAGTTGAGAATTTCATATAAAACAAACTTGATTAGTGGTTTATTCATGAGTTACTTAACTGTGACATGCTTTACATTTTTGAAAAGTTAAAGTCTAACTGATATATATAATTTGTATGGGAAGATGGATAAGGCCTCTATAATTGGAGATGCTGTTTCATATACGCATGAGCTTCAAACACAAGCCAGTATGCTTAAGGCTGAGGTTGAAGGACTTGAAACATCCTTATTAGTGTCTAAAAGTTATCAAGGATCAATTGAAAATCTCATGAAGGTTGAATTCACCAATAACAACCTTTCAGTACGCAAGAAGATAATTCAGGTTTTTGGACAAAATCTTGCTAACTCCATAAATAGTTTTAGTTGGTCTCTGCCACCTATTTTAACATCTTGAATGTTGCTTTGTGTAGATAGAGATGTTTCAAGTGGATGTCAAAGGGTTTTATGTGAAAATAGTTTGCAACAAAGGAGAAGGGGTGGCTGCCTCATTGTACAAATCTCTCGAGTCTCTGACAGGCTTCCATGTTCAGAATTCAAACTTGTCCACAGTTTGTAACAGTTTTCAACTTACATTTTCATTGAATGTAAATTATCCTCCAAATCCTTGTAGTTTACTAGTTATCTAACACTTTATTTTATTTGTAGTTGTGAGTTTTTGTTACTGATTTTATCAACGATGCGTTGAAAACAGGTGAAAAGCCCTGAGCCAGAAATGAACCTACTCAACCTGAAGCTTTGGGTGTCTGAAGCTTTTGTGAAGCAAGGCTTTGAATTCATACCATTTTTTTAATCTATAAACTGTAAGCTGTAATCAGTTAAGGTTGCATTAGAGACATAGAGACGAGACATGAAAATCTATATAATCTATGGTGATAATATATACATGTATTTAAGTGCTGGTTAGTGGTTAACTTTTTTTGATACATGGTTAGTGCTAACAATGAGCATTGACATGTAACTCTTTATTTTAAGACATTATTTTATTAAGAGATAATAGCCCTATCAACTTTTAAGAACCAATATTAGTAGTATATATATGTGTATGCCTCTGTTTATCTCAGCAGTACTTAATATTGTCAATAATGGGTTGCAAACTTGAATAAAAATTGTTATCCCCATTGAATAAAAAAAATCTATCATACTTGATGTGATGTGACAGTCTTTGTCACTACCGCCACATTCATCTGAAAATTTCAGAGTTAAATTATATTTGACTTTCTTCTTATCTTTCTATTAGTTTGTTTTCAATAGTAGATTTTTTTTAAAATTATAAATAATGTTGATGTTGAGTTAATCCGTTGGAAGGCTCATCGGTAAAATGTGTTATGATTTAAATAAATGATAGATTTATTTATATTTGTTAATTAATTTTATATTAAAATTTTAATATGGTATTAAAATCAAAATTTAATTTATTTTTATTATTTTTTTAATAAAAATTGTCTTTAGATGAAAAAATTGGATCAGTGATCCTTCTTCACTCTCCAAATACAAGAAAAGAGCGGACTAACAGATTATAATTATAATAGGTTGACTGTTTGTTATAATTTTTTAAAATTTATTTATTTATTTCTTTTAAATCAAATTTATAATAATAAAATTATAATTTATTTATCAATAATTGAACCTATATATTTTAAGTTAATATTTAAATTAAAATAAAATTTATATAATAATAAATAATAACAAATACATGTCATTTAAGTTAAAACTTAAAATTTTTTTATTTTTTATATTAAAATATTTAAACATTTTAAAACAAAATTATATTATATATTTTTTATTTGATAAATTTGTTTTTTTCTTGAGTAATTTTTATACTTTCAATTCAAGTCATGAAGATAAGAATAATTCATATTTAAGATGAGCAAGGAGGAGAGGAAAGAAAGAAGTTCATGCTCGAGAAAAAAAAGTTATTTTCTCAATGGAGGAGAGGAAAGAAAGAAATTCATGCTCGAGAAAAAAAAGTTATTTTCTCAATGAGTGAGAGTAGCAAGGAGGAAAGGAGAGAAAATAGTTTGTGCTTATGAATAAGAGTGAGACTTTTTGAAATTTTTTTTTTCACATATTTTTACCTTATATGTTGTTATCTTTGTGCTGACTGAATTACAAGGAAAAATATTTCTTTTTTATCAATTAAGTTGGTCGCGCGTTGACATAATAAATTGACACATTTAGTGGAGTGGACTAAAGTGACTTAACGAGCTAAAAATACCAACTCACTCCCTCATATTTATAATAGGCTAATGATCCGACCTGCTAAACCTAATCTGTTTTATCATCTTTAGTTCGACAAGTTTTCGATTATTATTTTAAGCTAAGAGTTACCCTTTGTGGTAGAAATATCCTTTGTCTGATCAACTTTGTTAAATGGAGCATGTCTGAAGTCTCACATCATCTCCCATATATTATTCTCTCATTTATCCTTTGTGTTAAATAGATATTAAAAATGACAAAATAGATCAATCAATCCCATTTTCATCCGTCTTGTCTCTAGCTTGCAAAAATCGGACATACACAAATTGATCTGTTATAGTCAACGAATTCTAAATCCCAACCCGAGTTAGCAAAGTGCAGGTTGATTGTTTGGGGATAATCCTAATAAATTTTTTTATTTGTATTTTTAAAAAAATATACCTTTAATTGTATGAATAGTTTTTTAAGTTTTTATTAGATAAATTAAAAAAATTATTATGTTTATATATTAAAATAACTAATTAAAATTAATAAATTAAAATTAATAAATTAATTTTTATAATTTAAATTTAATTAATTTTTATAATTTAAATTATAATATTATAATATATTTACATATTTAAAAAATATGAAAAATATAATATTTTTAATTATAATTATTTTTATTTTAATATAAATATGAAATAAGACAAAACATATTAATGGAGTGTCCCATCATACATAACCCATTTTTTCGATGAAAAATAAAATAAACATAAATAATATAAAAAATATTACAAAACTAAAAGTTTTGTTTGAGAACAAATAATTTTCGTAAAAATTATCAATATATATATATATATATATATATATATATATATATATTCTTAGAATAAAACTTTTTAAAAGTTATAAAATCTTCTAAAAATAGGTTGAGCTTAACGTTAATTTGATTTAAAATGAAAGCTAACTATTCTTTATTTCTCTTTTTTAAAAATACATTTAAATAATTTACTCGATTAGAAAGATTAATTAATTTAATTACTAACATTAAATTGTCTTAAATTTACATATTTTTTAAAACATTACTCTCATCATTCAAGACATAATTTTTTTATTTAGATATTTATCTCTGTTAATTTTAAATTTTTTAATCCTCTCTAATCGTTACTATATTGTTTAGATTCCCAGCAATCAAACATATTAACGAATTTTATTTATTACATACACCATGAAATAACTGTGTAGTTATAACTTATGGTAGTTTAATTTTTCTGTGTTAGAAAATAGTACTAAATTTCAGAATCGGGCCAAAAAAGTGAAAAATAAAAGAAGCGAAAGGTCTAGAGTGTGGAGAGCGAGTGTGCGTGGATGCACTATAAGATGATGGAGAGGATTATATAAGTTGCTTTAACCACAGATTCTCACGCACATTCTGTGTTGCATTATCACAAACACCTAAACCTCTTTCACTCTCCGTCACGATGCATCTAGCAATGGCGGCCAACGCTGTCGTCGCGCCGTCGCAGTTCCAACCCACTTCGCTTCTCCGGTCATCCTTCTCCGGCGTCTCCGTTAAGCTCACTCCCCAATCGCTAACCCTTTCGCGCTCGAAGCCCCTCACCGTCCTCGCCGCCACCAAGAAGGCCGTCGCCGTCCTCAAGGGAAATTCCGCCGTCGAAGGCGTCGTTAATCTGACACAAGAAGATGATGGTTCGTTCTCTCCTCTTCCTAACAGTAATAGTTTAATTCGATTGAAATCGAAATGAATACGATGGTGCCAAATGAACTACTAATGCGTCTTCCACTCTTTGGTAGACATTAAGGAACTTAAGGTTCTGTAGTTGTATTTGAGGATATGGGACTGGCTGGTTAGTATTTTGCTTGTGTTTGGTAGGTATGCTAGGTAGTTCTGTGTGTAAGCAAACATTGGAGTTTGAAAAAGAATAATACATTTTGGTTTCCTTAAATTGGTGGAACCATAAGAGAATAATATCTATATAGAAGAGAAGGACTCCTTTTTCTTTTCCGTAACTGTAATTTTATAATTTCTTTGTAAGCATTTATCGAGAAAAAAAACAAGAAAATAAAATGAATTTAATTTCTTTAATAAGCTAAAATCAGCTTTTGAAGAGGTATAAGAGTTTCCATAAGAGTTAAGGACATAAGTTTATTTTAGCTTATTGGAGAAGCGCATTCATTTTAACTTCCTATTTTCTTCTCTAACAAGTAACTAAGAAACATTTTCCGGACAAGGAAAAAGAGAGAGAAACAAGAGAAGTGAGAAAGTGTGTGTGTAGATAATTCATGCGATGGAGGGAGATGATAGAATAAATAGTGCCAGCGTTTTAGGAAATCGAAGTATCTACGAATAATGTAACTCTTTTTATTATGGAAAATGTTAAACATTCTCCCCAATTTTGGAGCGGATAGGTGTGGGGAAGAGAAAGATATGAAGAAAAACAAGATGAAAATGAGAAAGAAGAGAGATGAGTGGATGTTTAAAATTAGGCTTTGGTCATGTCTGAGTGTCAATTGCTACTTCTCACGTGTCTAACTACCTGTTTCTGTGTGCCATGAGTAGGCCCAACAACTGTTAGTGTTCGCATCACTGGCCTTACTCCGGGGCTTCATGGTTTTCACCTAGTGAGTGTTTGTTGGCCTATCGTACTTCATGTCCTTTCCTTCAAAATTGTTTCTTTTTTAAACCCTTTTTGTCAATTTTTCTTGCAGCATGAGTACGGTGATACCACAAATGGGTGTATCTCAACAGGTAAGGCAGCTGGATCTTAGTTTTAATTTTTGCTTCATTATTTTCTTATCTTGCCGTAGTTCAGTTCAATTGAGTAAGTTACAAGGGTTTGTTCTTTGAATGACATTCAGGAGCACATTTTAATCCTAATAACTTGACACATGGTGCTCCTGAGGATGAAGTCCGTCATGCGGGTGACCTGGGAAACATAGTTGCTAATGCAAATGGTATAACTTCTTTCTTTTCTCGATTATCTTCCTCTGTATTGAACTGCTTTCTGGACCTGCTTATGTATTCTTTTGTCCTCTGTTTTGAAATATAGGGGTTGCAGAGGCTTCAATTGTGGATAATCAGGTGCTTTTTTGATTTATATTTTAATATAATATTTGTTCTTTTGATACATATTTATCAAATCATGGTTTTTATGCCTGTGGTTCATAAATCCAAACCATTTTGAACCATATAATTCCACATTGAAGTAGCTAATCATGTTGTATGTTTGCCATCAAACATGCAGATACCGCTCTCTGGCCCCAATTCGGTAGTTGGAAGAGCCTTGGTGGTTCATGAGCTTGAGGATGACCTTGGAAAGGGTTAGTTATTTCATTTTAATATTTATTTTAAATTTGCATTTGGATCCTGTGCTGTGGACAAAATTACTTTCAGTAACTTCTGCACTTGTACTAAGTAAATTGTACCTAGTATGTACTATCATGGGAGGAATGACATGAAAATGAAATTGGTTATTCATCTTGGCATTTTATATCTCACATTGCAATTGAAGTCTTGTGTAGTAAGATGTATGAATCATAACTAGATTATTTTTGCTTTGGTTTTATCTGCGTTTATTTATACTCTTGCAGGTGGGCATGAACTTAGTTTGACGACTGGAAATGCTGGTGGAAGATTAGCATGTGGTATGAAAAAAATAATTATAAACTAGAACTGTTCTATTCTTTTCATACTAATCTATTCATCCAATCCAACATATATTTCTGTTTTTGGGTTTACTCTTTTCTTCACTGTTCTAAGATGAACTAATTTCAATAACATAGTGATCAATTTTCGATCTTGATAAAAAAGTATGATTTGCTCACAAACTGGTTTTTGGTAAGTAATGCATGATTTACGGACTATCTCTAATTTTGAAAAGTTGGGCACTTGAGTCTGCTGCATAAGCTGAGTCCTTGTAAGATGAATACTGCTATCTAGTACCAAATTGAACAGAGACGTACTTTATTCATATGCATATGTTGCTACATGTCATTTCATGGCTTATGCACATAACTGATATAGAGAAATGGCGTTTAGAGATCTTCAAGCTCATATGTTTTCAGATATATGACAACATACATAAATGTGGGGTTGTCCAATTAAAACAAGGAATATATCTCTAATCCCCCATAATCCAATTTAACAAATTTTATGATGTATGGTTTTTGTATCTTGCATTCAAAACGGAAATAACAAGCTTGAATACTTGCCTTTTCTGATAGATTAGTAGCTATTGTGCTTAAACTTATTAATAGATATATATTATGAATCAAAGTTTGTTTCAGAAACTGAAGATTCGGTGAACATGCTGTAGAAACAGTTGTGTTGATTATCATCTTCTTAAGGCTGCAAGGACGGTTATGTTTACAATCCAAACCTGCACTGGGCCTTCAGGAGGATTAAAACCAAAATTTACCCGCAAAATAAATTTAAACCTGCATCCCACCTTTCTCATCCTTCTCCTCGCCCATGATGATTGTTTTTAAATTTAAATTATTTATTTATATAATAGTAAACCAAAATTGTAAAATTAATCTATTTTTTCATATAAACCGAAAATATAATGAATAATTTTTAAATTAGTGAAGTTAATATCGCTGCCATTATTAGTAACTTAAACAAGCCTAATGTTTAATTAGATATGGGTTAAAAACACTATATGGAGGGTGGGTATTGCTGATGAGGGTGAACTTGTAGAACTTATTGAACAGCCCAATTTTCAAAAGTTATAGCTGATTTATATGTTTGCTATCTTCATAATGTTTATAGTCCAATTTATGAACTTTATATTTTTATCCTGTATGATAATGTGTGTTGTGTTATCATGTTTGCAGGTGTGGTTGGTTTGACTCCAGCATAATTAGTGCAGCGGATGTTTTCAGTCGTGTTATTTTTCTGATGTTTTTTTTTTTTTTACTTTGGTTACCCCCATCCCGTGAAGCATGATGACTCTCTGTTGTTTGCTTTCTTAATGTCCATCTAAAGACAAATGTGCAAATGAATCTTGAAAACATATCAGTGCTTCACCGGAGATTAGTTTATTATGCGATCCGGTGTGTACTCCCCAATAAAATTCGTAATATCTTCAGGTGTTTATTCCCCAATGAAATTGATTTCAATAGGTCTTGTTGCGTGCTTCTGAAATAACTTACGTTGTTATGCTATATCAATGGTGCAAGTGCAACACCTGGTTTGTGCTGTGTCCACTGTTTTTCCTTTGGGCTCTGGTGGAAGGGGAATGTGGGAATTTTGCGAATGACTGGATCAAATCGAAGCCCATTTTGCTCATGTCCCTACAAGCTTTTCAGTGAAGCTATGCCGCAAGGGATTCTAGTGTTCATATATTCAGTTGAGATTTGTATATTGTTTTCAAGGCTACGAAGATGAGATAACTCTTGTTTTCGTTCCAAACAAGATAAATTAGTTCGTAAGCGAATTGTTTAACTTGATGTATCACGCCCCGCACCAATCCGTTTTTTTTTTTTCTCTTTCGTGGATTTGACAATCCGTAAATACAGGAAATTGCTCACCTGGTGAAAATGATTCGCATCAGGTAAAAAAAGAACAAATTGGTCTCCATCACTATCAGAAAAGATGCAGGTGCTGCAACTAAAAATGTCATTGTAATCTGTAATCACGCATCTAACCAAAAAGAGTGTTCGTCTAATTACATATCTCAACTTATTCGGCCCAAATGTGCCTGGAATCTGATTGCTAACCAAATATATTTCTCGCTTCAAAAATTGTAATTTTCACACTATTTACCATTACTTGTGTTAAATAAGATTGGATGCAGAACTTTAAGTATTGTGTTGGCCTTTCACACTATTTACCATTAGTTGTTGATGAAACAAGAGTGGAAGTCGAGCATAAAACAAAGCTTCATTGTCCTCACTCTTGTTTGCTTCATTGTAGCTGGTCTTTCACAAATTGCTGGGATTTGTCTTTGTTTATGTTTGAAAGTACCCTAACCAAACTAAGAACCGAATGGACAAGTGGTCCTAATGGGCCCAACGTGACCTGGATCTATGTATGTAGACGGGGTTTGCTTAACTGTTCATATATCACAAGGAGAAATTATTACCTGTATCTACAATTTTATTCTTAGACAAATTAAAAAAATGTAACTGGAGTTTATTAGTTGAATTTCATAGCAAGTCCTTGTTCATCTACAGATGTGGGTCAGGCGAAAATTTTATAAAATAAAATATATTTAGCTGATTTTGAAAATTCTATAGTGAGTTAAACAATTTTATTTTTATAAAACTTTTATTTTATTGAAATAAAAATCTATGAGTTCTTTTCAAGAATTGAGTATTGATATTATTTTGAAATTTAAATTCAAAAGGATAAAGTTGAAAACATAAAACTATCCAATCAAAAGTTGAAAGGAGTAAGTTTCTTAAACAATTTCTTGATAAATTTTAAGTTAAAGGGGAACAAATTAGTTACTTATATTATGTGGGGTGTTGACCATGTGTTGAAATGAAAGGATTGAACCTATTGTGCTGAATATTTACTCGGAAGCTAACTTTTAGGAATATGTTTTCAAATAGTAATATAAATTGGAATGAATGTATATATTTTGTGTTGTAGAGTACATGTTCAAAACATGTTTAGATTAATTTGGGATTGTAATAAATTTTTTATGCATGAATATAATATGTTTAAATTGGTACAATGATTAGTGACTTAACAAAATTTTTTTGGACTGTGACTCCCATCAATCTCTCCTCCCTCCGCTTTTATTGATATTGAATGGTTATTTGAATGAACCTATTCTTCTTTATTCTAATTCTTGTCACTAAAGTTGTGTGTTGAGTAGGTAAGCAAGCAATCAGTAAAACAATAAAATATATAATATAAAATGATGATTATTTGCTCAAGTAAGATTGTAGCTGAAAGGGTTATTAAAGAAGACATAGTTGATATTATAAATATCTCACCCAATGTTGATATACTTACGATAAAGAGAAAAAGAGATAATTGATACAATAAATATTTTTCTCAAGCAATAAGTGGACATTCATGTAATTATATTGGCTAGTATTTTGTTGAAGCAACACTTGATCACTCAAGTGAAATACTAATAACGAACAAAATAATTGATTTTATTTGTTAATCACTTAAGCAAGAAACCAACAAAATTAATGACTTTATTCCAAAAGTTTTTCACTCAAACATTGTTGAACACACTCAAGTTAAGCAGAGAAAAAACTAAATTGGTTACTAGAAATACATCGCTAAAGTGTTCAAAGGTGTTCAAGCTTATTAGTATGATAAAGAAGTAAGTTGAGACCTAGTACATAAGTGAGATATATGAAACTGATTTGAATGAGGTTGGTGTCTAAAATCCATTAGTGTGCATGTGTGATGTGATACTAAGTCGATCATGAGACCTAAACTTGACCAAGACATGTATGTTTGGTGTGAGACCATATGAGACTATGATTTAGAAATGATAGGTGTTTGTAGGAATGAGGTACTTTGGTGCATTAATATGATAACTATATTTGCACTATATTTAATGAGATCCTAAGTTTCATTAATAACCCCAATTATATAAATGAACGATTATTGTTGACATGTCTTGTGATTATAAAAGATATGCATTAGGACGAATAATGCTAAAATAAGAGAACATCTAATATAATATCAATTGTAGGGTGATATATAATTAATTTTTAGATTTGGAGCATAATGTTTAACTTAGCATGTACTTCTTATTTATTAAACTTAATTGTTATGATTGTGTTATTTAAACTGATGACTTGACTTAATTTGACTTAATCCTATGAATAAAGTAAAAGAATTGATCCTCTAACTTAATCAATATTTTAAAATTGACCATAATTTTTGGCTTACTATAATTTAAGTTATATTTATAAAATTAATATTTATTTATGATATAAAGATTTAATATAAAAATATAAAAAAATTCATTTAATCCAAAATAAAAGTAAAGATTTACTTTTTATTATTATAATTATTTTTTTAAAATTCATTCTAAAATAATTGTGTTAAAGATTTAATTTTATATATACTTATAGAATAATTTGATTCCAATTATTATTTTTATTTAAAAATAATAATTATTTTATAAAATGGATCAATTCATTAATCTTTAGGTTAACATGACATATATCTATTTAGATTATGATTAACATCAAAATTGATTTATTTTAATTTAAATCATAATTTTTTTTAATTTAATCTAATTTATTTATCAACGTTTTGATTCACTACAAGAACTATTCGATATATTATTAACTAGAGTGTGGTATTATCTATATTTTATATAATATATATTTTTTATTTAAGATGTTCATAATTTATTTACCATCAACGTTTATTTCTTAATATAATAACGATTTTAGGATATGATAAATAAACGTAATGATGTTATTAATCTTCATTATGTGAGACAAAATGCATATTTAAGAATTTTGTTCGCAAATATTTTTATCCTGAAACTAACCTACCAGGATCATACATTTACAGGGATGAATTTGGTGATTCACCGAAAAAAAATGCAAGTGAGATGCATAATGCGAGAGATGTAAAAGCATGATGAAAGGAGCATAATTTTACCTAACCATGCAAGTCATAAATTTCCTTGCTAAGACGTACCAATTTTGTGGCGTAAGTAAGAATGTGTTTGTTAGAAAAATGAAATCATGCGGGTTTGGAAAGTTAATTCAAAGTCTTTCCCCATAATTAATCATCACTCACTCCCTTTTTCTAGTTAGCAGTTGGGCTTAGAATGGAAGCAACTTGCAATTAGGTACAATATACACCCTACTCATTATCTTCCCACAATTTACAGTCTCAAACACTCTAATAACCTTAATCAATTAACATCTCTGTTATTCATCTTATTTCACATCCACAGTATATTAGTCAAACAAAATTATCTAACCATAATTAAGTGCACGTGGGGTTAGGAGGCAACTAGTTTGGCAATTTGTTTTTGGTAAAACCAACTTCTTTTCTCTCAAATAAATTGTGGTTGGGTACGGCTATTACAAGTTTGCACTTCCTCGAAGTTAAAACCGTCGTCTTCAAAGTTTTATAATTATAATGTAATTTATGATTTTAATTTTTTTAATTAATGAATATTTAATATATTTACTTGTATATTTATAATTTTATTCTCTCATTTTTTTCTTAATTTTGTAATTTTTATATAATTTATTATTTTATCTCCTCAAATTTAATGATCATTTAATATATTTAAGTATATATTTATAATTTTATCTTTTCACTCTTTTATTTTCTTATTTTTTTTTATATTTATTTATTATTTATTAATAATATATTATTTGATCCTCCAAAAATAATAATACTGCATATAAGAAAGTAAATATGATGAAATTGTAGATCACACCTTCATTTCCATTGTTTCTAAGAAATACACTCACTCTGTTTATTACTTGCATGCATGGGATTAAAGAGTGAAACAAAACAAATTGAAGAGGAAGGGAAAAAACCTAACAATAATAAGACGTAGAAGGAACTGGAAAAAGGAGTTGGCAGAGAGTCATTGTCATTGAGAGGAAGGAATTGGCGACCCGTGACTTGCCTTCTCTTCACTTCACTTCACTCTCCCTTAACTTAACTCCCAATACATCACTCAACTTACTCATGCTTTATTCACTTTATTTTAATAATCACTAATTTAATGTCATTAATTTTATAACCCTAATTAATATATCACTCGTTTATATTGCAAAACATAATTGAATTAAACATGACTACAAATATGTTAAATATTATGTTTCTTAAATTTAATAGAAATACTACAAAAAAATTGAAAAAAAAATACAAAAATATATCAGTAACGAGAAAATATTTTATCTA